AATACAGATTAATTCGAATATGTCGATGGAGTCCTAAGTACTTGGCGCTAAAAAAGTACAGTTCCCCTGTATGCCCTAATTAAAACGCCGAATTCAAACCACCTAAATGACCACTTCAACCAACTCCCCCCACTTAAGACATTTTTTGGCTAATTAATAGGCCGTATGCTAATGGAATTTTCTCTTAGAAAAGGTAAACTGTTCAATCGCTCAAGAAATCACCATTAGGTCGATTGTCAGAGAAACATGTCGAATGAAAGCAAACGAATTTATTTGATTTGGCCGCGGTTCCTTAGACAAATATTGAAAAAGCGTAATTAGCGCAGGACACATAATAATGCACTCGAGTGATTAATTAGCCAGGACAAACCATTCCCGATTAGTGGGAAATCATTTTCCATTGAAGCACTTTCTAACCACCAACAATACACTCTCAAATTCCCAGCACGCAGTTGGCATAAAAGTGGAAAAAACAAATTTGCAATCAAATTGGAGGACCAAAGCGAATAAAAGGCCCAGGCTAACTGACCATTTGGGTTTATTGGGTGCACAAATATTAAATAATATTAAATATTAAATAAGAAATTTGCGCTAAACGCCTCGAATTGCCAGTTCTGATAGCCACACGTATCGAAATGGCAATAAATGCAAATGAAAAGCTATAAACACGATATCCAGGCCTACGGCTGTCCACCCTTAACCCTCTCTCGGCCGGAGAGCAAGGGTTATGGTTATGAACACTCAATGGGTTAACCAAAACGCATTTTCAATAAATACCAATTATGATGAGCGCAGTCTATTGACCATTTAGCCGTGGATTTGACTTTGGCAGTTTCGATTTGGGCATGCGAATTATTGTTCGACTGGTTTTTTTTAGGGGGTGGAACATATGTCCGTTTTCAGGTGGGTCATTCCATGGCCCATTTATGGAATTATGCCATGGCATAAAAATTTGATGAGCTTCAACCTCGCAAGTGCCCGGATCCCAATGAAAAGTTTACAATCAACGGGACCGGGGAATTTCCATGCTCGAAATATCCGGGGTTCTTACGCAAGTTGGGAAGTCGAAGCCCCATCCCTCGCTCCAAACTCCAACTACTTCCTATCCAAATTGTCAGTTGGCCAGTTGGCTCCAACATTGCATGTCTTGGCATACGTGGGCCATGAAAAATTCATGGTCCGCCTCCATTGTACTGCCACATAATTAGACTGCGGCTGCCAAAAAATAAAGCTTGTCCTTAACAAGCAAGATTGTGAGGTACCCTGTGAAAATGTTCTTAATCAATCTAATACATTTAGTGAGGAATTAAATAGTAATATCTATAATTAAAGTTGTATTAAAAATAAATAACAAGAAATCTGACTATTTTTACTGCCTTATTACAAAAGAAGTTTTAGTTCACATAGGGTATTATAAAAAGTATCAGTATAATAAATAAGATTAAAGTTTGTTCACATTTATGGTACATATATGACAATCTCCAAGTTTATTTCTAGAATTAAAACCCTGGTCGAGCATACCCCTTACAAAATACATATTACCAGGTATTCAAATGGAGCACCTGTCCAGCAGGGGGCGATTAGTATTGTCTATTGGCCCGTTGTCCCAAACCCAATAGATGTGTTCTATAAAAAACAATGCCGCAATCGTTTGATTTCCCCGCCAAGATTGCGGCCATTGCAGGTCCTGAAATTTGCGCGCTTATCACTTTAATGTCGATTGCTCAGTGCGACCCCCACCCTTAACCCCCTAGGAGGCCAAGGGTCGTTTCGCGTAAAGGTCATTGTGTTATTAGTGCCACTGTACCCCGACTAACGTAATAGCAGCACAATTTATATTATTAATGATCCATATGTGGGATCCAGAGAGCTTGGAGGACTGTAGAAGGTTTTTCGCTGGTAAAATCCAGTGGTTAGTCTGAATATGAGCTTAGTACTTTATTTTTAAAGTTTAAGATTTGATTTTGGATTGGTTTTATGAGCACGAAGGATATTACTGACGCATGGTGGCAATGTGTTAAAAATAAAAGGACCGTCACGGCAGCTAATTGAAGGTTGGGTTGGAATATTCGCCGCCCCCTTTTTTGAAGGCCTTTCAACTGCGGTGTACTTAGCAAATTGCTTGTCCTCTATTGCATAATAAATGGAGTGCAAACACTAGTGCGCCGTGAACCGAATACACACCGAACTTGGACTCCATTTTTCGCGCTGCTAAAGAGGTCAGCATTACAAATAGAGCACCTCCAGCCATCCGGTAATTTCGGGCCTTTGTGCGATTGACACACGCATGTCAGGCCCCATTACTGGATCTCCATCAGGCATTACCCCCGGCCCCTGCCTACAGGTAATTCCTTCCGAAATTGCGCATTGCCAGTTCGGTTTTCCCTGCACCTGACGCACCACCCACCCACCGAAAAGGCACACGCCCACCCATCAGAAAAGATAATTTACCAGTCGGACATATCGATCGTGTGAAGCCCGCACCGCTTTTCCGTTTCTCCTTCCCGAATTGCGTGCCGTGATGTTCAATTTTCCGTAGAGTGGACAAACGAAACCGCAAATGGAAAAACTAAACCAACTATTTTGGCCGTCGAGGGGGCGGGGCAGTGGTCATCGGAGGGGGCTGAGGTGGCCAACATGTGTGCCGCACACATGAATTATTAATTGACAATTGCCGAAAATGTCCATTAACCAGCACCAGAGGGGGTGGAGAGTGGGGGCAGGGGCCAGCGCCGGGAAAATTTCAATTTCTGGCTAATGAAAATTATGGCAAACGGGGTTAGTTTTTCCATCCACTGGCAGGTGTTTCCATTTATTTGAACCCCCTAAAATGGAGTCGATCGGCTAGTGAACGATTTTATTGGGTTGGCAAGAAAGTCATGTCGTTTTTTTTCAATATTTTCAAAGATGATTTATTTATATCAGGACTTATAATTAATCAATTATGTATTGGCCGTTTTGTTCGACCACTAATGACCATCTCTCGGGCAGCTGCATAATTCCGCGCTCGAAGAACTTTTGGTCTTTTCCAGCAAAGAATCGAGACAAGTGGTTTTCGACAGCCTCATCTGAATCAAAGTTTTTACCATTCAAAGAGTTTTGAAGAGAGCGAAACAAATGGTAATCTGAAGGTGCTAAGTCCGGACTATAAGGTGGATGTGGTAGCACTTCCCAATTCAGCTCCGTTAATTTTTGCCGAGTGACCAAAGATGTGTGGGGCCTAGCGTTGTCATGGTGAAAGACTATACCCTTGCGATTAGCTAGTGCCGGCTCCTTTTCTTTAATTTTTTCCGCCAAATTGGATAGCTGGCGACAGTACACATCTGAATTGATGGTTTCATTCCGTCCCAGCAGCTCAAAGTGCACTACACCCTTCCAATTCCACCAAACAGACAGCATAACTTTCCTCTGATGGATATCGGCCTTTGATGTGGCTTGGGCTGGCTCATCTTTCTTGCTCCATGATCTTTTTCGTTGGACATTATTGTAAACAACCCACTTTTCGTCGCCAGTAATGATCCGCTTCAAAAAAGGATCGTTTTTAATCCGTTGCAGCAGAGAATAGCAGATGTTGATACGCTTAGTTAGGTGAATTTCCTTTAAGTTATGCGGAACCCAAACATCGAGCTTGCTTACGTAGCCAAGTTTCTTCAAATGGTTTTCAACCGTTGTATGCGACACACTGAGCTTCTCTGACATCTCCCGCGTTGAATAGCGCCGGTTTTCATCCAGCAAAGCCTGAATTTGTTCGTCAAAAACGGCCGATGGTCGACCAGAACGTGGGGCGTCTTTAACTCCAAAATCTCCAAGCCTGAATTTGGCAAACCAGCGCTGACATTGGCGATCACTCATGGCATCTTTACCATACACTTCGCACAATTTTTCGCGAGCTTCGACCGCTTTTTTTCCTTTTCGGAAGTAAAAAAGCAAAATATGCCGAAAATGCTCACTTTGGTCCTCCATGTTTAATTTGCTATAGCTTCCACAAATGTTATCGAATAATTACCAAATTTTCGTCGATAGTACCTAAGACAATAAGCTTTAAAACGATACTAAAAGTAAATAAATTAGATTAAAAACGATTACTAAAAAAAACGACATGACTTTCTTGCCCACCCAATAGCACAGGGTTTGTTTATTTTATTCTTGCCCAATCACAAACAATGATTATTAGTTTCAGATACTTTTACGGGAAGTTAAAGATTACATTAAATTTCTTAATAACACGAGAATAAATCAATAAAAACCTCTTCAAAATATTCACTTTTACTTCACTATTTATTTATAATAAATAAAATTTAGCTATGCACAATGTACCTCCTTACATATATGATATGTATATGATTTAAAAAATAATTGAATACTCGTGTGCCTAAAGTGAAATTATTTGACGCTTAAAGGACGACTTATCAATGTCCAGTTGACGTTTGTCATTAAGTTAAATTGCTAATTTGAAAATGTTGGTTTCTCAGTATGATGTAATGTTTTTTTCGACTGAAACTATAAAACAGTTAAATTTTCGGTCGAAACTGACAACAAAAAGTTCTTCTACCCTTCTTTTTCAGGTATCTGAGAGAGAATTGTCCACTGAATAAGTGTCACATTGAGAAAAAGAATTTGTGTCTCATGCCAACTTTCTTTGACAGATAAAAAGCGGCCTTAAGTCAAGACAACATTTGTGTAGATCAATTCACGCTATAAGTCAAGTAAATATATACCCAGCTATTAAAGGGTATTTATACTTCGATGCTCCCAAACTGACTCTTGTACAGTTGCAAATTACCACTTCCTTCCAACGCTTGCCCTGTCATTTTGTGAACATGCTTAATTGCCCGGCTTCATGTGGCACGCTCTATTGGCCAAATGATCGCTTTGGCCAAAATTAGCTTTCTATCAGCTAGGCATCAATGTTTTCTCTAAAGTGGCTTTGACAATTATTTCTAGATTTGAACGAAGCAGTCAAAAGGGATGAGCACACACCGCATACAGGGCATTACATAATAAATCCCCCTATGAGCGTTACGATAGAGCCAAACCCGAATCAGCTGAACCAACAACAAGAGTTGGCCAACAGAATAGCCGGTTTTGAGTGAGAGAGTCCGCTGTTTCACTGACGTGTCATTCAACTCGATCGAGAACCCGAGAATTTTAGAGTTTCAGAGAGTCCCGGTGAGTGAGTTGGCTGGACTGCGGCCGCCGACCAAATTCAGCTAAGCGAAGCAGAAAGTTACCCAGAAACCAGAGGAAACACTTCTCAACTTCTCGGCTCTTCTCTTGACTTCCAGCCAGTTTGAGTTGACAATCGGCAAGAGTAGGGTCAAGTTCAGAAGTCTCTGTTTTTGCCACGAAGATGATGCGGATTTTGGTGACTCTGCTGCTGGCGGCTTTCTACTCGGTTCCCTCCAGCTGGGCCTTAGCCTGCACTGGCTGCGTGGATCTGGACGAGCTCAATTTCCAGAAAACAGTGGATCGGTTTCCCTTCTCTATTGTTAAATTCGACATTGCATTTCCGTATGGAGAGAAGCACGAGGCCTTCGCCGCCTTCGCGAAATCTGCCCACAGAGCTACCAAGGATTTACTTATAGCGACCGTGGGTATCAAGGATTATGGAGATCTGGAGAACAAGGTGAGCTCTATGAACTATAGCTCGGAATTTAAAGTTATAAATTGGCTCAGATTGTTTTTTTTGGTTTATTAGGGTTAACAGATTTTTTAATTACTAGACATCGTAATATATGCAAAACAGTAGTTACTATTAAAATTCGAATCGTTTTTGTAATGGCATTTAGTTGTTATCGCTATCTACCTATAAGAAATTTTGGAAAATATTCAAGAAAATGTTATGTTGAAATACTAATAATTTTAAAAGTAGTCCCATTGTTCTTACCTTATTGTTTTTTAACTTTTCAGGCTCTGGGCGAGCGTTATAAAGTTGACGAAAAGAACTTCCCGGCTATCTTCCTATTCAAAGGCAATGCAGAGGAGTACATCCAGCTGCCAAGCCACAAGGACGTGACTGTTAACAATTTGAAGGCCTTTATCAATAGCAACACACATTATTATATCGGTCGCGATGGCTGTATCAAGGAGTTCAATGAGGCCCTCAAGAACTACGCCAATATCCCCGATGAAGAGCAACTAAAACTCATCGAGAAACTGCAAGCCAAACAGGCGCAGCTGACCAACTCCGAGGATCAGCAGAACGGCAAGTCCTATCTGATCTATATGCGCAAGATCCATGAGGTGGGATACGGGTTCCTGGAGGAGGAGACCAAGCGGCTTCTGCGCCTGAAGGCCAGCAAGGTCTCGGAGGGCAAGAAAGAGGAGCTGCTGAAGAAGCTCAACATTCTGGAGGCCTTCAGAGTCCCTAGGGTCACAAAAGCTGAGAACGAAAAGCAGGAACTTTAAACTTGTCATACTTATATTTGTTTATTACATAACACTTAAGACTACTTAATGATCATTATAAATGTCGAAGGTCGGCAGAAACAACGTGAATGTACAATAAAACTAAAAGTAAACAAAATTTTTTATTTCTTCCCCATCTGAATTTATACGATTACAAATCATAGTTGACAAAATTGTACTTTAAACTTATATATTTAAACACAACTTGTCAATCCATCCCAGCAAAGCAGATATTTGATCTAACTTAATTTCCTTCAAAAAGGCAATGAATGAATGGATACCAGATTTATTGTAAATTATTTTTATTGATCGGTTAAGTTTATTTCGTGTTTTGAACCTATCGCTCAGAAATCCTCCACCACGTGGGAGTAGATATTGACAAAGAACTGCGTCTTACCGTCGAAAATAAAGTCTAAGCACACTAGGTAATCTCCAGATGGAAGTGGAACTGGAAGTGAGACACGATGAAAATCACTTACCACCTGCAAGCCCTGAAAACCAAAATTAATGTATAAAATACGGTTGATTTTTGTAAATTGCAGACTCACCGAATAAGGACAACTATGGTTAAGAGTAGATACATCCTTTATCACGTTGTAGAACATCTTGATAACTGGGTTATGTCGCCGTCGCAAAAATAGACACGCATCAATGGTTATATTAAACAGAAATGGCTTGTAGCCGTTGGCCCTTTTCAGCAACCTAAATCCGAGCGATATATTCCTGGCTGGATGCAGAAACGTTGCATTTATATTCAAGCTAGTCTTGTTTCGGGAATAGGCCTTTAGGCGACAATAATGGAAAACGGCCCATGATTTGTTATAAGTGTCACAAACCACATTTGTCATTTTAACAAAATGTGACTCCTAAAAAGGTGGTTTATTGTCAAAATCAATTTGAAATATAACCGAGCCCGACTTACGCTGTAAAGTAGAAAAGCTACTGGCACAAATATTCCCATTAAGATAGTCTTAGGATGCATGACTGTTAGTTCCGATCAACAATAGACGACTGCGAAAAATATTGATTATTTTTGATAATTGTGCCCAAAATAAGATACCTAGATGTGCTATTTCAAATAAACCTACATAAAGTTAACTCTTTAATATAACACTTATTTTGAAAATAAATATAGATACCCCCTAGATAAAAATTTAAACGGTACGATATAATTTTAGCATACATACCTATAATTGGTATATTTAACTCTCTACCTCTAAAACTCTTCTGATTTCCGAGTTAACAGAAACAGTAACTACCATTAATTTTGTCTGATCACGTAAAAGAGCTTATCTCTCAATTCGAAATATATTTTGCCCTTTGAGTTTTTTAAACTTTCTTTTGGTTTAATAATAATATTCTATTAACCTTGTAAGCACAGATAATTTAAGAATGGGCCGTTCAAAAATATATGTATTACGTGGAACTGCTTTTTTACAAACAAAAAATAAAATCGAATAACAATAGGAAGCCTCCGGATGGTAATGGGAAAGGAAAGTGCGTGCGATAAAAATCGTTTGGCACCTGCAAGCCCTATTAAACAATAAAGATTTTTAACAAACCACTTCTCATCACATAAGGACAGCTTTGATTTAAACATAAAACATTTTGATGACGGGATTATTTTGATTTCTTAAAAATTGGCATTTTCTTCATTTTTAACCTGAGAAAAACCTTGTTGCCAGGATTTTGAAACGTTGCATTTAAATTCAAGCTAGTTTTGTTTCGAAAAATTTCTTTTATCCAACAATAATGAAAAACTGCCCAGGATTTGTAATATGATTCACAGACCCCATTTGTCATTTTAAGAAAGTGTGTCTACTTTAAAAATTTATTAAGTTTTGTCCTAACATTTTCCTAGTAACGAAAACATCTTCGACTTACACTGATAACTAGTAAAGTAACTATCACAAATACTCCAAGTAGAGTAACCCTTTGAAATATGGCAGACAGGCCTGAGTAAATATTGCAAGTAACTGCGATTTAATATAGATCTTGTTTGCTCTGAACTAAATGAAATAAGTATTTATAGTTTTGTTTATTGTAGCATGACGATTAATTAAGATAAACATTTTTAAATTATTTTTAGCTTTCCCATTGAAAAAGACTTGGAACCCATTACTACTTAAACGATTAAATTTTCGATGGGAATTATTTTGGTAAATGAAGACAAACTAACAATTATAATTTTTCAGTAACCAAGCCATCTGGAGACATCTTCTAGTTGTGGAATTGGGGTACCTTGTCTCTTGTAAAAATTAAAACTACTCATATTAAAAATGTGGAAAGAATAGTGCTGATCGAACCACCGCATACAAAAGTTTTAATATTAACTCTTGTGATGAAAAATAACTTTAACTAAATAAATATTACTATCTAAAATTTGTTCATTCAGAACAAGTCAAAAATCGTAACTACAATGTGAATAAATTTGTGATCGTTGTTTAAAGCAAACGATAATATACTTATGGATAGAAATATTTGTTCAAAAATCCTCTTTTTAGTTGAAATAAATATTTACGTGGAACTGATTCTTCCCATCTAATATAAAATCTAATAACATGCAGTAGTTTCCTGATGGTAATGGTACAGGAACTGAAACATGATGAAAATCGCTTACCGCCTGCACGCCCTAAAATATAAACAACGACTAAAGCTCGGTTATCCAACAGATAAATAAAAGATAAATAAATGTTGCATTTATATTCAAGCTAGTCTTGTTTTGCGAATAGGCCTTTAGCCTACAATAATGAAAAACGGGCCAAGATTTGTTAACTGACTCACAGACAACGTTTGTCATTTTAAAAAAGGATGCTTTCTGAAAAAACCGGTTTATTTTAATGTTATTAATTATCAAATGTCAAAAGCATCTTTCACTTACACTGTAAACAAGAAATCCCACAAATACTCCGAGAAGGAAAACCTTAACTTGCATGGCTGATACACATGAGCAGCAATACAATACTGCGAAAAATTATTTATTTTTTGTGTCTTTTGTGTTCAATTTTAAATCGAATAGTTATTAAAATTTGTATTCGGCCATGGTTGCATGACCATAAATCAGTATAGAAATTTTTGAATATATTTAACCTTTTGATTATATGAAAATTTAATAATAGAGTGTTTAACCAAATAACATACAAATTTTCGTTTCCAACCGCTTGAACACAAAAATGAGTATTTAAGGAATAATGATCTAAAAAATATGCTAATCAAGGGGTGGGGAAATAAAGATATATAGATTTCTTGCCTATCTAGGGAGATTTAAAAATGTGAACTACAGTTGAACCAAGAAAATAAATTCAAGTTTGAGAAGCTCATAGTATGGTAAAACATTTATTATATTGTTAAATGTTTTTTAAATTTTTGATACTTTTATTAACACAAGCTAAGCTTAAAGTATCGACCTTTAGGTACACTTTAAAAATTGCACCGATATTGCATTCATATATCTGAAATTAATTGATTCCTAAGAACTCGAAACAATTACTTCTTTAATTATCGTACAACTAAGATATACAATTTTTAAAAAGACAAATTTTTTTTGTTTATGTATAACGTATACATATTTAATACGAAAAAAATATTGCTTCCTTAAAAATTCTGTTTATACAGGGGTTTCACAGAAATGGTAGGTTTCATGGAATCTATAAAATTTCAGAGTAAATACGTTCTAAATTTAGGAACATTTTTTAAAAGTCGACTTATTGGTTGGTCTTAATTCGTCTACTTGTTTTTGAGTCGGTATCTGTGACACAGAGACTTACTTTTCCGGGGAAATTCGGTTGGAAGAGGTTTTGTGACACTCCTGATGAAAGTCAAAACGTGCGATAAACATTTAGACGGAGTTTTAGAAAAATTTAAATTACGGAAGTTTAAATTAAGGAGATAAAAATAGCTATAAAAATAGCTATAAAATCGCTTGACGGTCATTTGACATTTCGTAGAAGCCCGCTTGAAAGTATGCAACACAATGTTAACCCTAAAGTACCCGAAGCAAATTAAAGCATACTTAAGGGATCAACTGCAGTTTCAGTCTGTAGGAGCTTTGAAGAAGGGGAAATACCCCAAACCCCACTAACCAGCCGAGTGTTATACGAAATGCACTTGGATGAGATGGGGAGAGCAGGCCACCTCGCTCTCTCGATCGTGCCAAGGCGAATCTGAATATATATTTGTGTGTGTATAGCTCGCTTTTTTTCTTCATAAATATGGCTGCGTTGGCCGTGCAGTTTTCTCGAATGGTCGATGGTTTTAGGGGCCAGGGGATTTAAGGGGGGTGGGGCTGATAAGGGGTGGGGAGCTGCTGTTCTTGTTGTTTTCTGCTGCTGGTGGCGCTGTGTTGCGTCTGTGTTGGTGCTTGTATCTGTATCTCTGCCTGTATCTGTAGCTGCGTTTGTGTTTGCGTTGTTATCGCTCATTTTCACTTTAATGTAATTTTTTGTGTGCACTCTTTGGAGTTTGCTCTTTTGTGCACACGCTGAGTTGGGGCCGCCATATTTATTTCGGTTCAAAACGGCACACTTGAAAAATTTGTTAGTAATATTTATTTATATTTCGAATTTATACTTAATAAATCTATATATTTGTATACCATTGGTTTTATGCCAATTTTAATGCTAGATAACATAGGACTCTATTTGATAACATAAACATATCTTTCTTTTAATTAATATGTGTTTTTAAGATGTAAGTGTAGTTTTGCAGATATTTTTAAAACGTAAATGCTGGCAATTTTAGAAAATTTTATGTTCAAAAGCGTTTCTATTAAAGCTAAAAATGAATAATGACAATCTTCCACTTGACTATTTAAATAATAACTAGTGTTAAAAGACAGCAAAATGTGTGTCAAAAATAATATACCATTAAAGCAACTGTCTTTATAAATTATTTAATAATTGCACAGATTTTCTCTCCGTGCAGCAATAAACGCACTAAAAAGATGCGTGCTGTTGTTGTTTCTGTATGCGAAAGTCAATGAACTTTTTCGGTGCTGTCTACGCATTTTTCCGGCTCCGCTTGTTTGCGATAACTATTTGGGTGCACTTTGTTGTGTATTTTGTACTTTTTGGGCAGCGGATACACACACGCCCAGGGGGAGCAAAACCCAAAATGATA